TTTTGCATGGGTACCATTGTTTGCAACTTTCAGGCCTGTTCTTGATATGACGCATCTAAGTACTTACTGATGCCCATCAAAAAATATTTCAACAGCTTTGCTTTAGAGCCATGGAGAGATCCATATGCATGTGCTTCTGTGTTTATCTGGGAGACAGAAGCCTATAAATCATTCTTCATAAATGACAATTTATGTCCTCTCCACATGTTCTGTCTCTGGCTCCCCTGTCAGTCATACCCCATTTCCCAAATCTAGTCCTTCAAATGTTGTCCTTTTGTCTTGCTTTAAATGGAGTTGATAAAGGGAACTGGCATTAAATCAGACCAAAAGACTTTTTTTCCTGATAAACTTCCAATTGGACCCATTTCCTGGTCTGTCTTTAAGGAATTTTTTTTTTAGCTCATGTGGGATATCATGTGCTAGATGTATCAAAATGTACCTGAAGTCAAGTTTTTAAAGCTTCCATTTAGCCAAAAATACATTTCTGCATGCATTATCTACATGTTACATCATGGTGAGCCCTCTTCACAGAAACGTGAAGGAGGAGAACTGAGTAAGAAGTTAATATGTTTCTCAGATGAAAAAAAGGAGCAAGCAAGAAGAATCCTATTCAATCAACAGCAGCACTGCAATTAAAGTATTTTCATAGGTATTCTACAAAGTCATTCAAAATTTGCCCTGAGAAATGGGGTTTTCCTCAAGAAAGCCTTGAAGATTTCCGATGTAAAAAAGCATCCCCTTATGGCTATTTCAATGCCATTTAAAGTTGCTTATGATTATACCCATCAGAAACACATCCTTTCCAATGTATCTAGGTCTAGACATCTCCAAGAAGAAACATTTTAGCACTTTGCCTGTACTAAGATTAAAATCATCAAGTTTCAAAAGTTTTTGCCATTTTGAGGTCAAAAGCTACTATGCAAATGAGGGTTTCTATTGACCCTACTGAGTCAAAAATGATCAGTGTACCTATGTCACCAATGAGATATTTTTAAAACATTTTAATAAAATCTGATTGATAAAAGTGTATGGAAAAATCTAGATTAATATATCATATTTTCTCCAACTAATTTTTAGGAAGATGCCATTTCAAAATTTCAAATTTTTCCTGACTAAAAATGTTCATAATTTTTCTAAATAACACACTTTTAAAAAAATAAATAACATAAAGGTATTTCTTGGCAAACAAAAAATAGCAGTAATATTTTTATTAAAATCTGTGGGAAAGCATTTTAATGGAAAAAAATGGAAGCCATCAAAAATTCTTTGCAAATCACCCCCCATGTTTTCAGTTATTTCAAACAGTGTTCCAAAACTGGGCCAGCTGCAGATGTAACCAAATATATTGAAATTATATCTTCAAAATGCCCCTGAACATGCAATATGAAAATTTACATATTTTACATTCCCTTCTCCCAAACATACTTGTGTTCTACTTCGGTAACATATAATATTTTGAGACAACAAATGGGAGATTATATACAGCAGTTCTAAGGTGTCATACAACCTACACTACAGCATTTATATTTTTAAGGTATTTTTCCCTTGATAAGCAACTTTTTCCCTTTCTAACAAGTACCAGATAGGACGTTGCCACAATGTGCCAACTGTGGCAGAACCCTATGAGGAAGGATGCAAAGAGAATGAAAGAATTTAACAGAATGGCTGGTTTGCCTTCTGTGTGCTGTTACAGTGACTGCTTAAAATGAGGTTTTGGACACTGGTCTCAAATCCATTTGCAGCATAAGTAGGCCCCTTAATGTGAATTGTAATGTCACTCCCTTGCTCCCAGACTTTCAAGAGGGCACTTTCAAATTTTCCTGAAAAGTTATCTCCTAAAAATGTGTCCCAGAGACTGATCTGGTTTAAGAACAGCTGAAGCAAGAGATACTGGTGGATTATCTGTTATGGACCCTATGGTCTCATTGGGCAAATATCAACAATTTTACTAAAAAATATATGTAAGTCATTCTCAAAATAAGGACTGCTATGGATTATGGTTAGGAAAAGAGTGAACACACTCGTGGCAGGCATAAATATTTAGTGTTATTCTATAGATATCAGGATGTGATCAGCTGTACTTTCCAGTTCTGTGGCTGTGTAAGAATTGATCTTAGGTTTTACTGAAAATCTTTTTTAATGCTTATTAGCTTACTCTGAAATTTTTTCAGTGTTTACCTCGAATAACCAGTCATTCTTGAAAACTCCTTTTGGTAATATACACAAAGGGGAGATAATCACGGTTGTCAAAGTAATACATAATGATTACTCCAAGAAACATTTTCTAGCATCCGCCTACCTCCAGTGAAAATGAATACAAGCCAGATCCCAATATTTTGACCCAAAAGGTAAAAATTATTTATAAACAATTATATGGAAAAGCCTACTCTTATTCTCTGTTTACTGTAAAAGTGTAAGCAATTTGGTGCTGGGATTTCTTTTCAAATAGATTCCTGTGCTATAACCCTGTGCTAGCCCTGAAATGCACGGGAGCCCTTTCACAGAATTTATCTACAGCTAGATCACACCAGTTTTAAAAGACAAATCATTTACATCATTGCTTTATGAGATGATTTTTACAATGCTGACTTTGTATACAGATAAATCTTCCTTCAGTGTAAATTCGATGACACAAAATTTTCCATAGCAGAAATTTTCCATTCTCTTTTATCTTCATTACTGTACTTCCCTATCATAAGGGAATAATGGTTTACAGCCTACTTGCAGTGTTTGCTTTAGCTTAATCTAAATAGTTGACCCCATTAAATCAATTTCAACTCTTGCCCTTTGTGTTTACTTCAAATGCAAATGCTAGGTTAGAAATGAGCAAAAACTTGAAAGAAATCAATTTCAAAACAGAAAACAAGTAAGTGAGACCAGAAATAACCACTGCCTTCAGCAGGGCAGATTTACTTGTTTAGTAAACTACATAATTCTGCAAATTGAAAAATAGAGTGTGACAGCTTCTGTTAACTCATAGTAATTATATGCTATCATACCTAACACCTAAGTCAGGTTTTAGACATTTGAAGGCTTCTGATTGACAGGTTTTCTTTGAAATTCTAAAAAACTTTTACAAGAAAGAATCACAGTTAGTAGGTTGCAGAATATGCACTTAGTCACTATCAGTCATGCTCTCCAATCCCAGTGGGAAAATATAGTTCATTTTTAGTTATTTGAAGTGTGGTGCTCTACGAAAGCTCTGAGATAAAGACTGTTATGCCAGATAACGTCCAAGCAGCAAGAAACATGCAGGGTTTAGGCTCCCAGGCTCATACA